CACCTTGTGAACCGGAAGTCTCGGTGACCGTTGGAACTCCCGACGCTAGGCCGGAACTCCCGGCTGTCGGAAGTCTCAACTACGGCTGGAACTCCCAACCCTAGGGTGACCACTCCATTCATGTTTCTTCAATTCTTGATGTTCGTTCGCTTCTCGTTGTCTTGGTTCTTAGTTCCCCTTTGTGTTTTCCGCAGTCATGGACGGTGGCAGTCCCTCGCGTCACAAGGAGAAGAGGTCCAAGAAGAATTAAGATCGTGCCGCTGTCCCCAGGCCGTCTAGCCGCACCAAGGCAGCATATCAGCGTGGTGGTGCTGGTGGTTCCCGTGCTGCCCGTCGCCGTGACGATCAAGGGTCATCGGCTGCCGCTCCTCCTGCCCCTGCCTCTGTTGGGGATGTGTCGATTGTTGATGAAGAAGAGGAAGCTCTTGAGCGTGCTGGCCGGGGTTTGTCTCTCATCTTGTTCCCTTCCCGGGTGTTTTGCCTATCATGTGGGAGCCCGCCATGGCTCCTAATCCTGCTGGTGGCTGGACCCCTCCTTTACCAGTGGACTATCGTCACCGGGTTAAGGACATCAAGTCCATGAGGGGAAGGAACCTTTATGCTGAAGGACGAGAAGGATCTACGGCTTGAGTATCGTTTCTGGCACCCATTTCATTATGACTTTTATGATTCCATTCTCTATCTAAAGTTTTTGAAGAAGAGGGAGCCACCGGTCCTTTAGATGAAGTGCATTGATGCATACTCTCTTGGTAAGTTCAAGGAGCCCGAGTTAGAGTAGATGGTTTGTGATATACACTCAATGGGGCTATCCTACCTGCTAGAGTTTAGGAAGCATTGGAATAATGAGCTTATTTATCAGTTTTATGCTTCCTATCATCATGAGCGAGACCCTACTGGTGCTATTGACATTGTTCATTGGACCACTGAAGGCAAGCACTATAAGGTGGACTTCATCACTTTCTCTCGCCTTCTTGGTTTGAGTCAGGCCAATCGCTCTGCACCTGAATTGACTGATTATGAGGATGTCGCTTTGGAGGAGTACCAACATATGTATCTTGATGGACATACAGCTGATGGACAGACAGTATATCTGAAGCCCTATTACTATGTCCTTAATAACATTCTGAGACAGATCTTGTATCCAAAGCGAGGTGACTCCACCTTTCTTCGTGATGATTCTCAAAAGGTGCTTCAGCGATTTAGCGATGATTTTTAGAAATTTTCCATTAGCAGATACATTTGGAACAAGATACATGATGCTACTGAGGATCCGGTGAAGCATCTTCCCTATGCACCATACATTATGCATGCCATTGAGCAAGTGTCCGACATTCGGTTCCCCATAGACACTCAGCACAATCTCCTAAAGATTTCCAACAAGACATCCATCTCTGTTGCAAGAGAACTGAGGGAGAAAGGTGCTGCAGCCAAAGCAAAAGGGAAAGGTGTTTTGGGTTCTCGCTCTAGCCATGGTGCTTCACCACCTGCTGCTGCTGCTCGCTCTTCTAGTGCCGAGCCCCTCTCTTCTTCCTCCTCTGGTAAGAAGCCAAACAAATTCAAGTTCCTCATGACATACATGTTTGGACAGTGTTGTGCTAGTGCTCAACGTGAGCATGATATGCAAGAGAGGCTCTATCGGTTGGAACAGCACACAAGCATTGTATCTTCTCCTCCACCGCACCGTTTGTGCCTCCCCGTGATTTGTTGGCTCTATATGATGAGGCTTGTGCAGCATATGAAGATGATGCGACTTCTTGCCCTCATGGCAAGGGCAAGGCGACAGAAGAAGATGAGGAATACATAGAGGAACATGATGACAACGATGATGACGGTGGTGACAATGATGGTGATCAAGATGACGATGATGACTACGAGGATGAGTAGTTGGTTATTCACGCGGCGTACCCCTTTTGGCACTTGCTGACAAAGGGGGAGTGTTAGGCTTTGATTCATCTTGTAATAAGCTAGTTGGTCTTTTGGTTTCAAGACTTTAAAACTTTTAGCTTATATGCACTAAGTCATGTGGTGGCTAGCTTGTGATGGACATCTATCTATATTTGTTTGTGATGAATGATTGTAGGACAAGTTATGGTTATCTATCTAGCTTATTAGCTTGTACTTGTCTATACTTATGATGGTGAATGTATTTTGGATGGTCATGTGTTGCTTCAAGTTTCTACTTTGAAATCTTGGCCATCATATTCTCTTTTACTTGTTGTGTAAAATAACATGTCATATTGCATTTCTTTTCACGGATATATATTTGTTCACACACACACTTGTTGCACCCCACGGATTGCAAAATTTAGGGAAAGCTTTTGTCTTGATGTATGCAAATCATGTATAGATGATTCTAATTGAAATTCAAATTCAAGCATACATCAAGGGGGAGCTCATTATAAATTTTGGGTTTCAAAAGCTTTAAATTCTTTCATTCTTATAAAAGTCTAAGTTGGTTATCATCAATTACCAAAAAGGGGGAGATTGAAAGTGCATTTGCCCCCTATGTGGGTTTTGGTGTATTGATGACATCCAAATTAGGGACTAATATGATCTTAATGAGATATGTCATACCTATTAGTCCCATGAAAGATTCATAGAGTTGATAAAGATGAAATGGTATCCCTCAATTCTTAAAGTTGTAAAGGTGGACGAACTCAAAACGCTCTCCAAATGTTTTATTTTTGTTTTTGAGTTTAGGATCCGCCACACTATAAAGAGAGATGCAAACTTAGTTGGTCTGAGGAAGATGGAGTGGTCAAGCATAAAAATAAAATCAAAAGAGAGATAATCTAGCACTCCATGAGCACGTAGATTAATTTTATGTGACTGTCGGTGTCGGAAGTCCCGATGTAAGCCGAAACTCTGATCGTCGGAAGTCATGACTCATGCCGGAAGTTCTGACTCCCAGTCACTTAGCCTGCGCGGTGACTGTGGACGTCGGAAGTCCTGACATGAGTCGGAACTCCCGACAGTCAGAAGTCCCGACCCGAGCCGGGAGTCCCGACACCTGTGGTTCTGCTGGCTGGCCGTCTGCGCCCGTCGAAAGTCCCGACCCATGTCGGGAGTCCCGACACCTGGGGCTATGCTGGTTGTCTAACTGCGCACGTCGGAAGTCCCGATGTTTGTCGGGAGTTTCGACATTGACTTGCACGCGCGGACTTCTGACCCTGTGTGAACAATGCTTTCTGTTAACGTCGGAAGTCCCGAGATCTGCGTCGGAACTTCCGACGTAGATCTTAACGGTTAGATTTGTACTAAGAGTATAAATAGCCTTCTCTTCACTTCTAACCGTTACGGACTCATTCACAGCTGACCCAACTTCGTCCTAACAGCTCCCAAGCAACAAGAGCACCCCTCTCGTCCCTCCTTTGCTCCAATCTTCGATTTCCCTAGGGTTTTGAGTGAAAGGAGAGTGGATTAAGTGAGAGAATCACTTTGGCAAGCTTGAGCATTTTATTTCTTCGTCAAGCCGATTGATTTTTGCGTCTATTACTCTTGGGGCTTTGCCCCTAGCCGGCTTGGCATTGCCCAAAAGCTTCCATCTTGTGAAAGAGCCTTAGAAAGTTTGTATTACCCTTGATTTCTTAGTGGAAAGCTCAAGTGAACTTTGTGATCGCTTTGAGAGATGCAAGAAGGTGGAATAGACTCCGACCTTTGTGGTCACCTCAACAACGAGGACGTAGGAGCTTCTTTGTGGGGTTGCCGAACCTCGGGATAAATCTTATGTTCCGTGTGCTTGTTGTTGTGATTGCTAGAGATTACTTATATTTGTTTGTCTCTCTCGAACTTTATTTTAGGGTTTGGACTCGATCTATGGTTTGGAGGCATTACAGCGTCAAGGAAGTGACCCAACATCTTCACCAAACCACTAGAAAGTGTGGTTGTAAGATTATTTGTCCGCAAAGTTAAATTTGGCACTGCTTTTGTTGTTCACGTAGGCATCGGGACTGCTGACGTTTGCGCCGGAACTTCTAACGACGTCGGGAGTTCCGACCCAAACGCCGAGACTTTCGACATTGACTGACAAATTTGAACTTAGTATTTGCAGTTAATTTTTAGATACGCCTATTCACCCCCTCTAGGCATTGTTAGATCCTTTTCAACCGATCGTCGTCGTTGCAAAGTTTAATCTCAAAGACTTTTCAATTACCTACTTGAGACGTCTAACCTATCAGCTTGGTCACTTTATTACTGATATGTGTGTTGATGAAAGATTTAACAAAGTGAAAGCATGTCTTACACTCGTATGCCTACAAGCTTTTGAAATGAGTGCTATTAGTACTGCTTGCAACTGCAAGTGTTTTAATTAATTGTATTAATGTACTTTGCTATAGTATTATTTGCTTGGAATCGATGGACATTTAGTTTTACATATATATATATATATATATATATATATATATATATATATATATATATATATATATATATATACTAGTTACTCAGATAATTACTATGTTAATATAAAATAACTTATTTTCCTTGTTAAATGATTTATATAATAACTATGTTAATTTACAAGATTATAGGAACTCATTGCGTAAATATGGTTTATTATAACGTTATATAAAATTATCCTCATGTGTTATAGGAATCAACTTATATTGTAAATATAATATATATATATATATATATATATATATATATATATATATATATATATATATATATATATATATAGGTATAGAATAACTGCTGGTCACCTTTGGCACCGTGCCACACTTCCACTGACGCAAGCAGCACCAGCACCACTGCAGCTGCACCATTCTTTTCGACGAAGGAAACGGCAACGCGACCCAGGGCCGCGGGCGCTGACGCGCTGTGCTGCGTTTTTTTCCCCATCGAGACAACAAGACGAGGCCAGCCACGCGCAAAACGAATACACCAACGCCAAACGACCGCACCAACCAATCCACTTCGCCGGCGATCCGTCTCATCTCGTCGCGTCTCCGGCGCCGACAGACACGGGCAACGCGGCTCCGAGATCGGCGGGCAGGATGATGACGCTGATCGACTGCTCGGGGTGCCGTACCCCGCTGCAGCTGCCGCACGGGGCTCCCTGCATCCGATGCGCCATCTGTGGGGCCATCACGCACGTCGCCCCCGCCCCTCCCGCCGACCCCAACCGCGGCACCGTACAGCCAGCGCCGGGGTGGGGCCCGCCGCCGCCGCCGGTGCACGGGCGGAAGCGCGCCGTGGTGTGCGGGATCTCGTATCGGTACTCGCGGCATGAGCTGAAGGGCTGCATCAACGACGCCAAGTGCATGCGCCACCTGCTCATGACGCGCTTCAACTTCCCCGACGACTCCATCATCATGCTCAACGGTAGGTAGACCCGCACCCCCTGTTCTCCATTGCTGCTTCTACCGCCCCCTAGGGAGTCGATCGAATTGGTTGACCGCAATTTCGGGTCAAAATTTTGCCAGTATCAGATCCTCGTATATATGGTTCGTCGTGCGATGCGATTGATTGCTATGGGCAGGATACGATGGGATATGATGATTGGAGGAGGCTTTGCGGTCGGCTAACTTTATTCGTTCCAGTTATTCTTATTCTTGGCTTATTGGAGAAATTGCGGGAATTGATATTTTATTAGGGTTGATGCTGGAGGATTGCATGAATGAATGTTTCGTCCAATATTTTGTGAGATATATTTATCACCTGCCTGACCAAATAATTCTGCTTCTGCCCATTTGAAAAAAAAGATGATGTTCATTTTGCCATTTTGGATCATAGATGATGTTCAGGTTGAGAATTGAGATAATCAGAAGGTATAGTTTCTGCTAGTATTTTTCCAAGGGGAAGTCATGAGATTTTGTCTTAACTTTGATTTCAGCAACTGAATCCCAAGTGTGGAACTGCAAATTCAGGAAAAGTTCAGACTGTTTAAGGTGGTTATATAAATTGCGGGTCCTGCAAGTTTCTGCAAAGGAATTTTATGTTTTGCGAAAAAAATATAAATACAATTCCACAGTTGGGAATTTTCTAAATTGAATGTCCATCTTTTGAATGTTATCTATGTTTAATATATCTGTCTGTGCCTGTTCTACAATTATTACATAATTGTACTTTATGCTTATCATCTTTTCCCCTACTGATCTACTTGATCTGCCGTCTATGGTTTTGCATATTTATTAGCTTCTTTTGAGTATTCTGCTCAAGTTGAATTAGATTTTCCACGTTTTATATACCAACTGAAGTGCAAATATTTTTTGAAAGATCTGAAGTGCAAATACTATCTTAGAGCTTGGTTCCTCCTTTTGTTTTGTCCTCTGTTTTTTATGTCGAATCTCTGGCGCCACATGTAATTGAGGCACGTTTACATTAGGTGCATTTTAGATGGCAGATGAATTTACATTTTGATTATTTTGAAACTTTATGTACTGAGTGTAAGCTTTTTGATAATGTGGTGTTTCTACTCTTGAACCCTAAAAAATTAAACACATTTGGTTACATTCTTGCAGAAGAACAAACTGACCCCTACAAAATCCCAACAAAGCATAACATAAGAATGGCCATGTATTGGCTTGTGCAAGGTTGTCAACCTGGAGACTCATTGGTGTTCCATTATTCTGGGCATGGAGCGCAACAAAGAAACTACAATGGAGATGAGGTTGATGGGTTCGACGAAACCCTCTGCCCATTGGATTTTGAGACACAAGGAATGATTGTGGATGATGAGATAAATACAGCACTAGTTAGGCCACTTCCTCATGGAGTTAAACTTCATGCACTCATTGATGCTTGTCATAGTGGGACTGCACTTGATTTGCCTTACCTCTGCAGAATGAATAGGTAATTTTACATTATGCATGGTCATTTGATCTTTTGTTTTCTCTCACTTACCCTTGGCATATGAAGAACTGTTCCTGAACCTAATGTGAGTCTTATTAGCTTCTGATATCTGGAATTAACACTGCAAAAAACTTCTATCTATCCCATAAAAAAATCTGCTACCTATTGCTGAACCTAATGCAAATCTCATGTTAGTTTTGTTATGTTTAAATTCATCATGATATGATTTTATTGAAATACAATCTGGGCACAGCACCAAGTACCAATGAGCTAGGATTGCTGACTGTATCGCCGCTAGCACACATCTCATTACTTCCATGAATTCGAATTGACAATGATGTGCTATGTCACTGCCATTTGTTGGCATCAGGTGTCATATCATTTTTTTTAATTATCACATACCTCTGTTTCACATCATTGCAATCTTTGCAACATGAATCTGTTCAGGTATTTTAACCCTGGTGCATCCGTTAAAGTTTATCTGGCATAGAATAGTGATGTAGTTTTTGTTAGGCTGATTCTAGTCTTATGTTTCTATCTTAGGTATGGCTGATAATCATATACATCTATAAGACATTCTAGTTATGATAGACATTTCTTCAGCTAAGGCTTCTTATCTATATTGATATTACAGGAGTGGGCAATATGCATGGGAAGATCACCGACCACGATCTGGTGTCTGGAAAGGCACTAGTGGTGGGGAGGCTATTTCATTTAGTGGTTGTGATGATGATCAGACCTCTGCAGATACCTCTGTAAGTTCTAGATCCACTCCTCTACAAGTTATTGCAGTAATATCTATGTGCCACTCTTTAAATTATGAGGCGAGTCTGTTTAGGGGACTGTTGGCAGATCATCTTTTTATGCAGTTTCTTGTTTACTATTTGTTTGATCAAGTTTGTTTTGCTCTGCTTCAACCCACGGTCATTCATAGCATTTGATTCAATTGGATTTGTTCTGATCAGGCTTTGTCAAAGATCACTTCGACTGGTGCAATGACATTCTGCTTCATCCAAGCTATTGAACGTGGACAGGGCACCACCTACGGTAGTATCCTGAACTCCATGCGTTCAACAATACGCAACACAGGTGACTCAGCGGGTGTAGGTGGCGGTGCTGTTACATCACTAATTACAATGCTTCTTACTGGAGGGAGCCTTTCTGCTGGTGGTCTGAGACAGGTAAATTCTTGAGCTTGATATGAGGGTCGTCAGTTTATTCAAGTTATCGTCAGCGTTTCATATTGGTAGCTGTTTGCGTTGTTCTGTGCAGGAGCCACAACTGACGGCGTGCGAGACATTTGATGTCTATGCGAAGCCCTTCTCCCTATGACGCGTTCATGGTATTGCCCAATGCATTATATAGCTCCTCCCATTTCACGTTATCATCGTACATTTCACTGTTAGAAGTACTCCATCCATCGCGATTGTTAACAACGCGTGGGATTGCCCTTTATTCCCATGCCCTCACAATGTTCAGTGCACAGTTGTAAAAGGAGAGTACAATTTGACGTCTCACATGCTGCAGTTTAATCTCTCTCACCTCGAGTTGAATCATTGTTATTTCACTGCAGAAGGGTTAAAGTATAGTTCGGTTTTGAAGCTTTCCCGTTTGATTGTGCTTATAATAATGGTTTACAAAGTACGGATGAAGTATTGGTAAAGAAGATAAGTATATATATCGTTTATTTCACAGATATAATCCGTATATGCATGAATAATTTTCCCGACGAGGCCAATCCCATATAATCCTATAATTGGCTAGAAAGTTGCCCAACCCGGAAACACAAATCAGCCAATAAACAGTATTTTTTCTCACGACAAGTATTTTTAGCCATGGTTTATCAGTTAAGTTAAGTGAACAGTGCAACACGACATCCTATTGCCTATTGACACTAGCTGAAGATCAACAGCCTGTTCGGTTGGTTGGTTCGTTTCGATGCTGATTCGTGAAGAAGTACTGCTGGTTGGTTTGTGTAGAGAAAAATACTGTTCCGGCTGAAAATTTACGATCGTTTACGACAAGCCACAGCCAAATGAACAGGATGCAAATTTTTTTTTTTTCCTAAAAACAGAAGAAATCTCGTCGATGTCTGCTTGAACGATGACCCTTAGGCAGCCTGCAGTCCTTGGAGAACGCCTCTGTATCTGGTAACGTTACCTCGGAACACGTGAATTCGGAGTTTCATGAAGGCTCCAAGAGCGAGCACGCTGCCGGCGCCAGCGAGCGGGTGCATCGACAGCGGCGGCGCCACCCCGAGCCTGCTTGCGATGCTTTCCAGCCCCACCGGCATGTCTCGGCAGTCCGAGGCCATCGTGGCCACATCGTACACGTCCTCGCCAAGAGACCGCCGCACGGTCGCCAGGAATCCGGCTATATCATCGGGAAGTTTGTTGCCGCCGTTGACGATCTTCGTCAGGTACGCGACGTGGTAGGCTCCGGTGTGTGTGACCCACGACACCCCTGGCCGGCTTATCAAACGGAGCGCCCTGGTAAGCTTGGCCACGGGGATGCCGCGCAGGCGGAGGTCGTCGCACTTGAGGCCGCGCCCTCTGAGGTACGAGACAGAACTCACGGCGTGGGGGTCGACGGCCGGGTCGAAGTCGGACAGGTTAAACTCCCACGCTGCGATCTTTCCGGCGTCGGTGAAGACGGCGAGCCCGAGCTGCAGCGGCTTGAGGGCGTCCACGTTTGCCTTCACCGTGGCGTACCGCTGCTCCGCGGTGAGCGCAACGAGGTCGTGATGGTCGGCGACGTGGACAACGCCGGGGTAGTGCACGTCCACCGCGACGCAGCGTGCGTGCGCCGCGAAGTAGCCGATGGCGGCCTCCACGTCGTGGAAGTTGTCTGCCCAGACTTCGTGTACAGGGACGGCGAGCGGCGCCGGCTGCAGCGGCATCATGGGCAATGTCGGCATCGGTGCTGGCTGCAGCGGCATCATGGGTACGGTTCGCATCGGCGCCGACTGCAGCGGCATCATTCGCACGGTCGGCATCCGTGCTGGCTGCAGCGGCATCGTGGGCACGGCAGGTATCGGCGCCGACTGCAGCGGCATCATCGGCACGGTCGGCATCGGTGCTTGCTGCATCGGCATCGTTGACACGGCAGGCATCGGCGCTGTAACAACCTGCTGGCGTGGCGAAAGGCGGCCCGGTGGAGTTAATGTTCATGGCCCTCCGGTTTTGCTGCTGCTCTCGTAAATTCGTCTTCTTCTGTCGAAAATCCGTGATCGTAAACCTCGAAGTCTTCCTGCGGTGCTGCCCACGTCGTGGACATATATAGTGCGGTGCGTCAGGGGCAGTTTCATACGATCGAGGTCGGTTGGGTTCTGAATACTTTTCGGACTCTATTTCTGATTACGAGTCTGGAGCAGCGACTGCTAACGATTTCGAATTTTTTTAATTTTAATAAACTTTTTAACTTTAAATAAATTTAAAATCTAAGTAAACAAATTATTATTAGTTTTTAAAACATGAAACTAACATTTTTTGCCGATATCCATTGTCGGTGGAAAACCAAACCAACGAACCGATTGGTTTCGGGGCCCCAACGCAAAAAACATGGTGGTGAAAAACCATCCCGGCGGTGGTCAAACTGCGGATATCCGCAAACCCGATCCGTTGCCATCCTTACATACGATCGAGGTCGGTTGGGTTCTGAATACTTTTCGGACTCTATTTCTGATTACGAGTCTGGAGCAGGGACTGCTAACGATTTCGAATTTTTTTAATTTTAATACTTTTTTAAACTAATTTTAAATCTAACACTGTTTTTTTTTTCAAAACTAACATTTTTTTGCCGCGTCTATTGTCATGGCTCGACGAAAAGCCTGTGCCGCGCCATGCATGGTGGCACGGCGGGTGGCTGACGTGGCAACGACCGAAAAGGCTGACCGGTGACGTGGCAGGGCCTTCCACACCACCGATCGCGCGACAGGTTGCTACCGCGCCCAGCAGAGCGAATAAAAGCCCTGCGCCGATCCCCCGCTGCCCACCGTGGTGCCGCCTGCACGCGCAAGGCCAGCGCCGCAGCCCGAGCACGTTGGCACGCCCCGCCGACGCCACGCGCCAGACGCCGCGCCACCCCTCCACCACACAAGACGGCCCGCCCTGGCCAGGAGAGCAGCCGGCCGCGCCCCCGACCGGTCTAGCGCGCCACCGCCGTGAGGACGAGTGCCGCTGCCCCGAGGTACTCCCCTAGTGTATTTGTTGATTGAATCGATATTGTTAGTATAGTACTCAATCCATCCCAAATTGTAAGACGTTTGACTTTTTTGACATCAAGTTTGACCACTCGTCTTATTCAAAAATTTGTGTAAAATATCACTTCGTTCGTCGTGGTTTGGTTTATTAATAAAAATTCTTCAAGAATAACTTAAATTTGACTATACTTACATAAATTTTTTGAATAAAACGAGTGGTCAAACTTGGAGCAAAAAAGTTAAACGTCTTATAATTTGGGATGGAGGGAGTAAGTTAGTAAAATAAATAAAGTTAGTATAATTAGTAAAGTATAGTTAGTATAGTTAATAAGTTAGTTAGTTTAGTTAGTATAGGTAATATAGTAAGTTAGTATAGATAATAAAGTTAGGTAGTTTAGTTAGTATAGTTAGTGAGTCTAGTTATACATTGAATTTAGTCTAATTAGTTGTTGTAGTTAGCCTTGTATAGATGTTAATATTAGATTAGTTAGTATAGTTATAGTTAGAATAAATATTAATATTACTATGGATATTACGTACGGCGATTTCGACGACTTGATAAAGTTTCTTGAAATGCTTTTGCAGATGGATTGTTGTGTTAGAGTTTTATACGAAGAAAGTGTTAGGAGAGAAGATTGTATGTTTGAGGATATGGAAGAAGAATTAAAATGGTTTGATGAACCTTCAAGCTTAAACGACCTTTGTGTCCGTTTGAATGTATAGTTTGGCGGTGATTTCACACTGAAGGGGAGGTTTGATACTGGGAACACAAGGGCACATTATGTCCTCATGCCCTTGCGTGACCCGGCTCACTGGTCCCGCTACACTAGGGTGCTCCAAGGTTTCAATATACCCATGACTGAGGTGGTGGTGGAGAATGGGTACAGGATGCAAGGTGTTTAGGACGGCCCGTCCATTGATGGTTTTGGAGGCAATGAACAAGAATTAGGGGTCGAAGGGGAAGCAACTCAGGATAAACATGGATTTGGACGGTGAGTTGACGCAGGAGCAGTTTCATTCAACTGCAGTAGGCTATATAAGTAATGGTTCATACTATGCTATTACCAGTCCCAACTGAGGTTTTGTATGGTATCCAGGCACAGGGTAGACTAGTTACATATTTGGCAGCAGATGATACCCCCTATGATTCATGGGCCAGAATTAGTGAAGCGCAGTAGTATGTTCCACCACCACCTTACATAGCGACTGAGCTTAAGCAACTAAGGTCGATGAACGTACCTTTCAGGGACGTTCCGAACTATTGGGATGTCAGCATGACGGATATGGTAGTTTATGACACCGGTCTTCAGATGTGTAGAAAATCATTGTATGACCATGAGAAAGAAACCCTTAGAAAGGGAATAATATTCAATACAATGTCAGAGATGAAGCTCTTTCTTCAGGACTATGCTGTGTATCACCATAGGCCGTACACCGTCACTCATTCGGACCAGAAATTGAGGCACCACGTGATATGCAAAAATGGTTGTATGTGGAGGTTAAATGCACGAAAGAGACAGAGTGATGACAAGTGGAGGATAAGTAAAGTTGTCGAACTCCATACTTGCCTATCAAATAGGGGGAAGGAAAATCATCAGCAGCTCACTGCACGTTATCTTGCCCATCGTATATTGGGGCTCGTTGATGACAATAACGACATTTTGGTGTCTTCTTTACAACAGTCCATATCTAGATTCGTTAAGTATGATGTACAGTACGGAAAGGCTTGGCGTGCTAAGAAAATTGCCCAGGCGATTCGATGGGGTAGTTGGGAGGAAGCGTACAACAAGGTGCCCCACATCTTATGTACAATGCATTACTACAACCCTGGTTTGAAATGGTTTGTGGACACCGGAGGGATATGTTTTCGGGACCCATTGAGGCATATCCTCTATCATGTGTTCTGGTCGTTCGCGCAAACGGAACATGCATTCTAGTTTTGTTGGCCAGTCGTACTTGTTGATGGCACTTTTCTGACAGAAAAGTACAGGGGCACCTTGATGATGGCTGCTGCTGTTGATTCTGAGGACTAGATAGTACCCATGGCTTTTGCTTTGGCAGAGGGAGAGAACAATGAATCATGGTCATGGTTCATGCGACTTCTACGTGTACAAGTGCTTGGCCCATCTCG